GCTCAGACATCCCAGAATTGATTCAGTTTGCCAGTAGCATGTGGTTGGAAGAAAAGTGGAAGTGATTTACGGAGAAATATTAAAGAATTAAACGTGGAATAAGGGATTTTGTATTTCAATTCAAGTTCTGTTCTATATCATACTTACGTAGAAAATAAGGTTTACTTAGGGATGTTCCTTATTTCAAAATCTAAACCCATGTCTGTTTTTAAAGTGGTATACTCATTATAAGCAGTCCCACCGAGGTTTACTTCAATTTGACTAATATTTATTAAATGCCATATATGATCAGAATCCTAGTAAGAAACAGCAGGCAATTTCTGCTGAAATTTTCATTTTTTATTTTTAAAATATATTTTTATTGATTTCAGACAGGAAGGAAAAGGAGAGCAAGACAGAAACATCAATGTTGAGAGAGAATCACTGATCACCTATCTCCTGCATGCGCCCCACACTGAGGATAGGGCCCACAACCCGGGTATGTGCCCTGACTGGGAATGGAACCATGACCTCCTGGTTCATAGGTCAACACTCAACCACTGAGATACTGGCTGGGCTGAAATTTGTATGTAGAATTAAATGCCACAGCTGTCCACTGAAGTTGGGTGAGGTGAAGGCAACTGACAAGGGTGTCAGACCACAGAAGGACTGGCAGTGCTGGTACCAGACACAGCTGCAGCCTGCCCCCCTGTTGCAGGAGCTGTAATCATTGCCAGAATCACAGTACCAGAGAAGCAAGGAATAATTTCTTGTCACTTCTCTCCTGGCATTCTTCAGTTTCCTGCCTCCCATTGACCCAACCAAACTGGACACCAGACGCCCACAGAGCTAGAGTGATACAGTCCATAGGTTCAAGTGCTCTCACTCCCTGGGAGATTAGGTTCACAAAGGGGTACAGGAGTGCAGAGAATAGATAACTGGGGAGTGGGAAGTAAAGGATAACCTGTCACGGGAGCCTACAGTGTCAGGAACTGTGGCCGATATTGTAGATTCAAGAATAGGTTAATTTCTGCCCTAGGAGAATGCACAGGGCAGGGAGTCAAGAACAAACTGACATCTGTCACTCAGAATAAAAAGCTACTGTAGTTAAGGGTATCAAAGAGAACATGTCACTGCATTATCTTTATCATAACGAGAACACAGAAATATGCGAAACTTCTACAAATAAAGAATTGCTTAAATAATGTACAGCTAATGCATTGTATATCTACCTATAAAAATCTTGCTGAATCAGAATAGTTTCAATATTTATAGTGTTTGTGATAATATTTTTTCAAGTTTCTTTTTGCCAGCAAGGCTGAGCCAATTTGTACCTCCCCGTGATCCAGTGAAGCTGGAAGGGTTTAGTTCCTGCACCTGCCAATCCTATCTGTCGGTGTGACTCATGTGCCTTTCCTCCATGGCTCCAAATTATATTCACTGATTATGTTTCTTCACAACAACCAGGTGCTAGAACAGTATCCTGGGTCATGGTAATAAAATGATGAATAAGAAAAAGTGATCCTTGACTCCATGGAGCTTAAAATCTCTTTAGGGAGACAGATGATTAAATAAACAACTGCACTCAACCACTAGTTCAATGTGTACCCCAACCTCTGTCAGTCAGGAAAGGAAGCTAAACCCCTATTGCCCAGGAGGCGATATATTGCCAACACAACAATTCTCAGTTTCCTGACTCCTTGACTTATAATTCACACCAGGATGATCACTTCCTGGGCTCCATTACCTCATAGGCTGCAGCTAGAAGAGATCTCATCCATTCTCCTGATACTTTTACATCCTGAAGCCTGTGCTTCCCTGAGTGGCTTCCTCCTTCTGCTTCCTTTTCCTACACCTTCTGTCTCAGAACCAAAACCAAGAGCAAACCCAGGAAAGGGCATGTAGAGAGATGCCAGTTCTACATTTTCTTGTTTGTTTAAATATAGGGTGTCCCCCAAAAGAGAATGCACACACACACAATGACTAACTATAAAGGCAGAGCTTATTAAAATATATTTTATTTTCAAAACTGAGCTACCAGCTGTTAAAATGTGTATACATTTTTGCGGGGGGGGGGGGGGAACCCATTTTTATGT